GTTGTAAATTTTTTTTGGTAGTTGAATAATGAGGTGGTATCTGTGGTGGCCTGTGAGCCTTGTCCAGTTTGTAGGTTGTTTGTGTGAGACACGAGAAATGCCGTAGGTGAATGTGATTAGTTTTGATGGGTTTTGATAGTGTGTTGTGGTCTGGCAAGAGTATGTGAGATTATGTATCTCGTAGTTAGCAAGAAATGGTACCGGGCATGTTGTTTAGTTTTGGGCTTTGCTAGTTAATGAGCTCGTTGGTGATCCCATCAGTTATGTATATGGTAGTGTCCATATTGTGACTGCCTACTGGTTGGTGACCATGTGGGTAAGACGATTTAGTGGTGTTATTGGTTATTGGTGTGGATTGTGAGAGGAAAGAGAATTTCTTGAGATGGATGCTAGCGGCATTCTTTGAAGGAAGAAACAGTTTAATGTTTCTCGGTGTACGAGAGTAGTGTTGGTTAAAATTAGTCCTCGCGTGTTTGGGAGTGTGTGATTGAGGTTGACCATGTCGGTCATCGAGTTGAAAGAGATGGGCAGGCTTGCTTTTGAGCAAGGGGGATGAGGACATCCCTTAAGAAGCATATCAGATGATGTGGTTTACTGTAGTGTGGTGGTTTTGTTGAGTGGGATTAGTCATCTTGTTGTATCGGATTTTGGGTTGGCATTCGTCACCTGGAGGATAGTCCTTGATTGTGTAGGCCATCGTGTGTTGATTAGGAAACTGAACTAAATCACCCGGATTGTGTCAATTGAGTATGAACGGTTAGAAAAGTAACAAACGGAATTGTGTATTGTTGTCATTGTATATGATGATATTTGAACAATGGGTGCCAGAATCCCACGGATGAAATTTTCGTAAAAATGGACCATACTAGAAAATAATCACAACATGGGTGCCAAATCCCGCAGGGACGTAAATTTTTCCGTGAAAATGTGCAAGATTTAGAGAGTATTGTTGGATGAGATATAGTCTCCATTTAAATTGTTCGGTACCAGGTTTATTTGAAACCATGTTTATGATTTATAAATTGGTTAACAGTAAGGGAAGGTTGGAATTGAAATTGTAAAATCTATGAATTTCTTATGCCTTACTGTTATTGAATAGTAAAAGTGTTTATTTCTATTAACTATCATTGTTGAAAATGTTTGTTATGGTGTTGGTATATGGGCATCGCCGTGTGAGTGATGGATGTTTGCTAGTGTTATCTTGAAGAAGGAATGGACAAAATTCTTCCTAGCTGTTTTGGCCTTATTTAAGGGCAATTGTCAAAGAAAATGTTGAGGGATTTGAATTTAATTTGAATGTTATGAAAAATTTCAAACGAGTTGTAGGTTTTTGGCAAATTAAACGGGAGAATGTTTTATGGGTAACACTGTGTTATGAAAATGTTTATAAAACTTTTGGAAGTTTCACTTGGAAATGCAAACTTGTGATTCGAATTGTATAAACGGTGAAAATTTGAAATATCTTTGAGAAATGGTTTCTTAAACAAGAGAATAATTTCCTTACATTTATACAATAGGTTTGTTTTTGGTTGGCCTTTTTGGGAATTTGTTGTTGAGTAGTGACCCCTAGCCCGAAGCGTTAAGTCCGGTTGTTGGTGAATTTTGTTTTCGGAAGAATAGATTTGGCTTTGTTAAGCTTGCGTGCCTAAGTGTTTGTCTTTTGGAACGTGTTTCCTTGGAAAAGACTTTCTTTGGTGAGAGCTAACCGGTAGGTTTGTTGTGAGAGTAGTTTCTTTCCTAGTAACTCGGGTAATTGGGTGCTGTGCGATCAGTTTGGCCTTGTGTTTTTTTGGCGTTTCCCTTAATTCGGGAACAGAAATTCTTTTAAGGGGGTGAAGGTTATAGGCGATCCCGGTTTTCTTTCCTTTGATTATTGCATACAGAACTTGTTCCTGGTGGATTATTGTTGTTGTCTTATTTTCAATTTTTCCTCCTTTACTCTTGTGTATTTTGAGTCTTGGGTTGTGTTTGGGGCAGGTTTGGACAGGTTGGTGTGTGTCTAGAAAACCAAAGTTGAAATATGCCCTTAATTGGGCTTTCAACGCTCGAGTGGGTTGATGCTACAGAGCGGGCTTTGGTTTGTGTTCTCCACTCGAGCGGCTTTAGATTATGCGTTTTTGGACCGCTCAGCGTGAAATTTCCATCTCCCAATATTTTCCTCCGCAGGTCTTAGTAACGCTCGAGTGGGAGTTTTTGACGCTAGAAGCGTGACCCTTGATTTGTTCCTACGCTCGAGCGGGGAGTTTGACGCTCGAGCGGGGACCATCGCCTGCAAAAACTTCTGTGAAGTGTGCATCTTTGCGCTCGAGCGAGAGTTTTAGATGCTCGAGCGTGAAGTCTGTGTCTGACGCTCGGCAGGGAGTTTCACGGCTTTCGACAAGGCGACTTGTATATCATCCGAGTTTCCCTTTTTTTGGATCACTTTTTGGATTTCCTTCTCTCTCTTACCTTTTTCAAAACCTCCATTGGGAGAGCATCTCTTCTCTAAAACACAACTTCTCCTCTTTCAAAGTAGAAGGGGTTTTCTTTGATCAGTTTGAATGATCTCCTACCTTGCGCTTTGTAAAGTGTAGAGCTTGGCTTGGGCTACATTTTCTATCCGAAATCTTGAGGATTTGGAGCACTTTGAGTTTTCAATCATCTCCCTCAATTTGAGCTTCGATTCGAAGGTAGGGATTTCCTTGTTCTTTTACAATGCTTCGAGCATAGATAAACATTGGTAGTTTTGGTAACTTGCATGAAAATTATATCGCATGTTGAGTTTGTTTGAAAATCATCAGGGGGTGAAACCTGGAGTTTGGTTGTTTGAAAAAATGGGTTTGTTATCATTGATTGTGGTTTGGACTAATTTCAAGGTGAAATTAGTATAATCACTGTTGAAAGAAAAGAAGCCCTAATTTATATTGATTTGAATAAATTAAAAGAAGAGTGGTTTCGTACTTTGGGCCAATACATCTGTGTTTTGGGTCTAAATGAAGGTTATTGTTGTTTAGTTATAGTGTATTTTTGAACCTTTTTTGGTCAATATTGAGAAAGAGGGAGGAAAAAAAAACCCTTATTTTATTGTTATGAGATTAATTTTGCATAATTGAATTTGGTAAAAGTTATGGAGGAACTGATATTAGGGTTTTAGTGAAATGAAAAACAGGGTGTTTTGGAATTGGAAATCCTGGAGAAGTAACGATCTTTGGAAATGGGTAATGATGAATGGAATTAACTCTTATGTGAGTTTTTTAGAAAATAAATATGAAATTAAATGTTTAGTGTTGAAATACACACATTTCATGGTTTTACCCCTTACCCTATCGTAACTAGTGTCGTTGTCGAGTTTAAGATCTCATGAGAGTTGAGTCTTTATCATAGATGTTACTAAATCATCGCTATCTAGAGGTTTTGTCCTTAGTCATCGATGGAGGATGACATTGGTTGTGTTGAGTTGTCGTGTAAATGACATTACAACCTGTGTTGAATTGAACATTGTAATTGTAATGAAGGGCTATTATGCCATTATATATGTATAAATTATTAGCGAGGAGAAAGGGGAATAATTGTACTCCAGTGTGTGGGAGGAGAATTAGGGGAGTGTACTCCTACACCCATAACTTATGGTGTTTTCATATACTTTAACTACATTGCTTATGTATCTTGATAGTTTATGTGTGTTGTATCTACACTTTGTTGTTATAACTCTGTGGACCTGTGATTCTTGGTGTATTATTCCCTGGCGCTTATAATCAGTAGGTACCAGTTATACCTTCAGCTAGTGTCTTGGAGAACTGACTGCGTAGAGATCTAAGGTACCACATCCCTTCCAGCTAGCGCCTGGTTAAATGGCTACCATTAGTGAGAGTTGATATCTTTGGCTTACTGTGGGGCATATAGCCGGTTGAAGCAGGTTTTATTGTTTATGCGTTCAGCGTATCTGATAATCCATGATTGTGATGGTTACAGTTTTGGAGGGTCGAGTTGCCTCATTTGTTGATTTCTACTGTTGATGGATTGGGTTTCTCCTTTATTTGAAGGCATGAATGTATAGATCGGAATGTTTGGAAACAAACCAAAAATGCCATTGTGAGATTTGGGAAGTGTTGTGGAAGAAAAAAATTGGGTTTTGAAAAGTATGTTGAAAAAAAGGAAACATCCGTTGTAAGTAGGGAAAATGGGAAGAAAAGTATAGTGGGCATTTAGAGAAATTGATTTCCTAAGAAGTTGTTATTGTTTGTTAAGTTTGGGAACAAGGGTTAATGAAATGAAATTGAAAGATGAATCGCTTATAGCGCTGAATTGATGACTGTATCATGTAGAAAAGCTAATCTTATGTAACTTTTGTATAAACTGCCACTTATTATTCCTGTACTGAGTTATTGAGCTTTCATATCATAGCTACTATCTTTATAAGTTGTTATTGTTGAGGACATGTAGAGATCCCGTACTGGACCTTATATTTCATACCACATTTGTTGAATCTTGTTTCAGGTGTTAAGCATGGTGGATGTGTATCAAGATGGTGGATCTTCTTACACTTGTTGGCCACGGGGCCTCTTTTGTGTTGGCGGAATGCCATATGTCACTACAACAAAAAACATTTTTGGCGACGTTTTTTAGCAACCAAACTAAAATTAGTCGCCAATTTTACATAATCAGCGACAATATAATTGTTTATCGCCAAAAGTACACTATTGGCGACAAGTTAATATTTTTAGTCGCCAAAAGGTTTGGCGCCAACTTAATTTTTTGGGCGGGAGCGCCAAAAATATTTTCGCGACCAAATGAACATATAGCGACGAAATTTTGGTCGCCAATTGTAAAGTTTTGGCGACAAAAATGAAATAGTCGCGGAAAAGATGAACGGTACTTATGGCGACAGAAGAATTTTTGTCGCCAATAAATTAGCAAATGAAACTACGTCGTTTTGCATTTTTCAAATTTTTTTTTTTTTTAAGGCTGGACCGACCCTTTTACTGAATAAACACACCCAAGCCTCATCTCATTGTATTCAGAGGAAAACGAGAAGAGGGGGAGAAGATAGAGGATTCAAAAGGGAATGGAAGGAAAGGGTAGGGTTTCAATCTCTCTCTTTGTGCACACTTCGACGGTACGGCGAAACTGATTCAGCAACGGTGACAATCAACGGTACGAACTCATCTACTCTCTTCTCTTCTCATTCAACATCCAAATAGTAGACTTCAAGAGTCTAAATAGCATACCCAAACGATTGTCAAGCTTAAGCTAGGTAGCGAATGGCGAGAATGGCAGAGGTGTTTGGTGTAGATGAGGCAGGGAGGGGCGTGGCCGTGGGTTTGTTAGGCGTGGTCGTAGGGTAAGGGTCGCCGGAGGGGGGAGGACTCTCTCTTTCTCTCTCCCCCCTTCTTCAGCTTCTTATTTTTTCTATTGACAAATTGTGCTTGTCTCTCTTTCCCCTATAAATTGCAATTTCTATGCCCTAATTGATTTTTTTTCTTGCCAAGTGCCTTTTTAGAATTTTTTTTAGGGGTGTTGTTGTGATGTCTGGTTTCTCTCATTAGAGTTCAAATCCCATTTTTCTTATCTGTCAAATGTTCGATAAAATGCATCAATGATGGCCTACTGTGATTTTGTTTATTAGATCCAATTTTTTTTGACTTTTGGATCTTTGAGAATATAATTTAGGAGAATTTTGAACTCAAATACAATTTAGGAGAATATAATTTAGTTTTCTTGGTGGGTTTGTTTTTTGTGTTTATCTACAAATTGAAGTTGTGGAAGTATGTATATATAGTAAATTTAGGATCTTTGATTAATCATTTTTTAGTATTTGTCACTACATGTATTTCAGTTATTGTGTTTTCAGTGAGAGTCTGTAATTGTACATGAATTATTTGAAATACTACAATTATTTGATTTTCAGGAACACTCAGTCGCTGCTTTCACCCGTGTTCTTGATGAGGCCAGTGTTGTTCTTCTCTTCAGAGACAAAATCTATCTTCATCCTGATAAGGTACGTACACATATATATAAATAATAGTTTTCTTGTTAGAAGAAGATTCTTATAAATTGATTTATGTGGGACTAGTGATTTGTGCTTGTGGTAGAATATAACTAACAATTTTGTTGATGAAATTTGTGTGTGTTTATTAGTCACAAAAGTTTTGTGTATCTCATTACGGCTAATATGTATATTTTGCGTTGCCAAAAATCACATGTTATTTTTGTTTTATTATTTTCTTGTTGGTCTTTGGTTGTGTACACTACATGGGGAATGAGTTTACTCTGTATTGCGGAGATGAAGGTTTAAGTTTTATGTTTCCCTCTGTATGGTTAATGTCGAATTTTAGAGTTAAAAAGAGTCCAAAATACATTCGTTAGTTGCACTATGAGAAATAAGCAACTGTTTCTCTACAGAGAACAGTTCCAAAACCTCTGATTTTGCAGCAAGGGATTGAGGATAAAATATATGGACACAATCACCATCAAAATCAGCACTAAGTGGCCCACATATAAGAGGGTTGATCTTAACTGTATGGTCATCGTGAACATAAACCGACAAAGCTTGCAGGGAATGTTTATGCGTTGTCGGAGGTCTATTGATGAAAACAATATTCCCATCCATTATCCGTCGATGTACCACTTGACCAGGTCTTAAAAAAGTATGCCCCTTCGAACCTTCCCTCAGCGAGTAGGTTGACAAACCATCCTTATAGGTTAAACACACTTTTCATCAACCAGCTTCTGCAGATACTGCATGTTATATTGAGTAACTCTCTCCTCAAATGTTATCCATTGAGCAATTTCAAAAGGCAGTCCAATCTCATTGACTCCTTTATATGCATCACCTGTAATAACACTCCGTGAGGAGAATCCACAACCCTTTCTGATAAATAGGGTTTTCATCTTCTCAAGCCATGCTTTAGTAGTAGAATCGCTTTGCTCTTTGTTAATCCCAAATCGTATATCCATGTCACGAGATGCCTTGTAGAAGAAATATGCACGGAAAGACAAGAAAACAACAGTTGTTCATGAACATTTGCACAATTTAATTGCCAAAGGTTTGACTAGATTATCAATCAGATTCTCAATAAAGAACAAATGTCACCCAAGTAAATAGTAAACCAGCATCAACTACACAAAACACCATCTTCTAAAACGGATCATCATTCTCAGATAATTCAAATAAGCAATGCAATGGACATGATTGATGAGATCTATTAAAATAAGCAATGCAATGTACATAAAATGGACCATCATTCTCAAATAATTCTGTATAATTTTTAATTAGTTTTTCTCTCAAATCCTCAAAGCAATAAAGTGCCCCCACTAAGGGTCAGCCAAACTTCCTTTGAATTAGCAACAAACATGATTGATGAGATCTATTAAATTAATAGAGTGGTGTCACACGAAATGGTAAACAAAACATGGTACATAGATGTAATCATCATAGCATTATGGCACTAAAAGTAATTTGTATATTCAACATGGGATAACTTCAAATAGTGCTTGTGTTGTAAAAGCTCACGTAGTGTACACAAATACTTGTTTCAATTTTACCCCAATACATTGAAAGATATGTAACCTTATTTTTAGTTTTTTCTTTTTGGGCCTAGACCCATTTCTGTTTGTTGAGTGCTGGTGGACCGGGTGATATTGGGCTGATTGCGAGGTCCTGCTGTGGGCCCTTTCTCGGTCCATATTTCCTCACACGACCCATTATGCTGTGGGCCCTTTTTAGGTGGATTTCAGTTTGTAGTTAGTGGATTATTAATCATCTTCTGTGGTAAAGATGATGCTTGTTCAAGTTTTCTTTAACATATTCAAGATCTTTATGAGGTTGATGTTGCCACATCAACTCTCTACTTCATTTGCTGCTATGATGATGGTTTTATTTGCATCTGATTCTGTCTGTTTCTTTTACCAGTATGTGAATGTTTTAGTTGCAGCTGCTAATCCATGTAATTTCTGTATTTCTTGTCTTTTTTTATTGAAACAGGAATTATCATTAGTTTGCTCATGTTTTCTATTCAATGATTTGCATTTACACCAGCATGCTATTTACTAGTTTCATGCCTATTTACATGATCAGGACAAATGGCGGAACATGGGTATTAGTATTGCTACACACAGTTCTAAAGAAAAAATAAGAATTCCTAGAGTAAAAGCTATTACCGCTGGCCCACTCACCAATGTTCAAAATTCTGCTTCTGCTTCACTTATTGATGATGACAAGGATGAGAAAACTGCTCCACAGTGCGCTTTTCTTTTGGTTCTCTTTTGTGAATATAGAATTAATCTCATGGCATTGCTCTGATTGGTGAGAGAAACTTTTATGTGCATAAATCTTCTGTTTCTATTGATATGGTTATTCTGCGCCTCCATTATGTTCTATGTATTGAGTGGCTAAGCAAACTAGGATTTACAAACCTACGATAGAGGCTTTAGGCCCCATGAAATTGAAATCCTTTTTTGTCCAAAAGATGGCATCATAGTATTTGCGTTCAGTTTTATTTATCTTTTCTTTAGGCTTCATTGGTTTCAGAATTTGAATCTTAGTATATGAACCTTATCACCAATCACATTGCCATAAGACTTCCATTGGATTCAAATGTGACACTTGGGGATGTGAAACCCCTAAATGCAATAGTTAATGCAACAGTATGAGCAGTTTAGTTAAAATTAATAAACTCATTACAAAGTGGTGGCATTCCCAAACTCCCTATAGTTGCAATGATCTTTGAAGCACTTACAGCCATACAAGATTCAAATGGAGCTGATATTAGTGCCATTCTCAACTTTATTGACGTCAGATAGAAGTCTTTTGTTATCTTTATTCCCTTGGATAAAATTTACCTGGTTTAATCTTGAAGGACTTGTAGTAGCTGTTAGGTTATGACAAAACAATTTATGGAAAATAATTGTAGACAGCTCTTTATATTGCATAATGTTTAGATACTCAAATCCATGCATCTTGATGTGTAGTCTATTGGACTATTGTGCTTGGTTGATTCCAAATAGCCTAGAATTTCAACATTGTGAGAGTCCATAATTTTGTACATGAATAATTTGATATGCATCTCTGTACTTCTTTTTTTATTTTAATTTTTAATAGTAAACTAAAATTGTCAAAAGGAGGAGGAGTGACAATGATTGCAAGGCAAAGAGAGCCAAAGTTTATGTTTTGAAGTTTCTGTTTTGATGGCATTACCTATTGCTGCTGGCTTGGAGCACAAACATTTCTATTTCCCTTTGCACCCATAAACATACCTCAAATACTTATTGATGACTCAATAGTTTTTTGTTTTTTTTTTTTGTTTTGTTTCCCTGATATGTTGGAAGAAAATGGGTTGTAATGCCTATTGATAACTTGATCGTTTTTGTGGTTAGATACACATCTCACTCTCTATAGATCATTAGCATGCTAGTACTACTCCCTTTATTCTTTTTCTTTCTTTCCTCTTGTTAGAGAAGAGCCAAGTGCTCGTTAAAACTATCTCATTCTTTGTGGAATGTAATATTTAACTGATAAAGTTTTTTTTTTTTTTTTTTAAAAAAATCTCAGTTGGGTAATGAAACGGAGAGTGTTAGCTTTGATCTTCGACCTTCGGATGCATTAACATTGCAGTAATATGCAAGGTATTTTTGTTCATTTTGAAGATTGTAACTGCTTTGGTGGAATTTTGTGGTTGTTTATCATCATGTAGTCCTCTTATCTAACATAGTTATAATCACTGCTCTCTCACTAGATAGCATTATATAATGGTGTTGGATAAACATAATGTTATTTGCATGTAAAACTGATAGCTAAGTAATACTGTGAGATGCAACAAAATGTACAATGAAATAGAAAAGAAAAGAACTTCAGGGAAGGGTATGTGTATTGGGGGTGATGATGACTAAAAAATGAGTGACGAAACAAAAGAAGAAATGAAAAAGAAAATTGGGAAATAAGGAAGGAAAAGAGATGATAGTGTCCCTAAAGTTTATGTGGGTTTGTGGACCCCATTCGGGGGTCGAAATTACGAAATGACCACCGAAACCACCGAAACTTGGCACGGACAGCTTGTTCAAGCCTAAATAGACTTGTAGGAACAAACGAACCTCGATTGGATCTCCGGTTAGAAAATTAGAATGAAAATTGTAAAACACAAGACTAAAAAGGCCCGTTCGGGGGCTGCAACTGCGAAATGACCACCGAAACCACCGAAACTTAGCACAGGCAGGTTGTTCAAGCCTAAATAGACTTGTAGGAACAAACGGGACCTCGATTGGATCCCCGGATAGAAAATTAGAAGGAAAATTGTAAAACACAAGACTTAAAATTCCCTTTTGGGGGCCAAAATTGTGAAATGACCACCGAAACCACCGAAACTTGGCACGGACAGCTTGATCAAACCTAAATAGACTTGTAGGAACAAACAGGACCTCGATTGGATTTTCAGTTAGAAAATTACTAGAAAAAATGTAAAACACAAGACTTAAAATACCCGTTCGGGAGCCGAAATTTCGAAATGACTGCCGAAATTTCGAAATGACCACCGAAACTTGGCACGGACAACCTTTTCAAGCCTAAATAGACTTGTAGGAACAAACGGGACTTCTATTGGATCTCCTGTTGGAAAATTTGAAGAAAAATTGTAAAACACAAGACTTAAAAGGCCCGTTCGGGGGCGAAATTACGAAATGACCACCGAAACTACCAAAACTTGGCACGGATAGCTTGTTCAAACTTAAATAAACTTGTAGGAACAAACGGAACCTCGATTGGATCCCCGGTTAGAAAATTAGAAGGAAAATTGAAAAACGCAAGACTTAAAAAGCCCGTTCGGGGGCTGAAATTGCAAAATGACCACCGAAACCATCAAAACTTGGCACGGACAGCTTGTTCAAACTTAAATAGACTTTTAGGAACAAATGGGACCTCGATTAGATTTCCGGTTAGAAAATTACAAGAAAAAATGTAAAACACAAGACTTAAAAGGTCCGTTCGGGGGTCGAAATTGCAAAATGACCACTGAAACCACCGAAACTTGGCATGGGCAACTTGTTCAAGCCTAAATAGACTTGTATAAGCAAACAGCACCCGATTAGACTTCCCGTTACAAAATTAAAATCAAAATTGTGAAATTCATATTGATTTTTTTTTCTTTTTTTGTCAATCTAATATTGTTTTTTCTTTTTTCATGTGACAGATTGGCAATGGTGGAAAACAGTTCGGGCTGCACCAGAAGAACTTAAATAGACTTGTAGGAACAAATGGGACCTCGATTAGATTTCCGGTTAGAAAATTACAAGAAAAAATGTAAAACACAAACTTAAAAAGCCCGTTCGGGGGTCGAAATTGCAAAATGACCACTGAAACCACCGAAACTTGGCATGGGCAACTTGTTCAAGCCTAAATAGACTTGTATGAGCAAACAGCACCCGATTAGACTTCCCGTTACAAAATTAAAATCAAAATTGTGAAATTCATATTGATTTTTTTTTCTTTTTTTGTCAATCTAATATTGTTTTTTCTTTTTTCATGTGACAGATTGGCAATGGTGGAAAACAGTTCGGGCTGCACCAGAAGATTTGATTTTGTGTTTTTTGAAATATTTTGACATAGGATTTTGGTAAATGATTTATGGATTAAATGTTTAGCATCAAAATATTTAGTTTTGTGTTTTTGAAAATATTTTGACATAGGATTTGGTAATGTATTTATGGGTTTGATGTTAGTAGTTTGTAAGTACTTTGGTATGCATGTTTTAGATTGTCTGAGAATTATAATTATGTTTATTGGGATTTTTCATAGCTATTAATTTTGAATTAGTATGAATGTCTTGCACAGGTGTATTATTATTTACATTACATTTGTGTATATATTGTGCACAGGAAAACAGGTGTTTTGGATTATTTTGAACAGAAAAATTATTAAAATCAAAATGTGTAGTGAATTTTTAGTAACAGGTGGTGTTTTTGTCGCTGTTAATATATTTGGCGACAACATATTGTTTTTGTCGCTAAAAGTTAGTGGTTATTCCAGGAACTTTTAGCAACCAAAACTTATTCGTCGCTAAAAACGTGATTTTTAGCGACTAAATTAATTTTGTCGTTAAATAGTACTTTCGGTGACGCATTTATTTGTCGCTAAAACTACATAGTCTATCCATATTTTAACCTTTTAGCAACAAATTGTAATTTTATAGCGACAAATATATGATTTTTGGCGACTAATTTTGCTTGTCGCTAAATGTCTACATACGGTGACAAATTCTGAATTTCATCGCCAATACTTTTAGTGACAGGGCTTTGGCGACCAATTGTATACTTTGTCGCCGGATTCTTTTGGCGACGAAATTTGTACTTTTTGGCGGACGAAATTTGCTGGGTCGCCAAATATGTTTTTTGTTGTAGTGTGTGTAAAAGGGTTACACCCTTCTTTTTGATTCTTTAATGATGTAAGCCTTCGAGCATTTTATTCAGTATGCTCATGTTGTGTATTTAAATTGCATTTCGGATGAGAGAATTGTTATTTATTTCTACTCATGGGACTAAAGAGTTTATTTCCGCATTTTTGTTATCTCTGAACTTGAATTAAAGCTAATGGAATTTGGTGGTAATGACTTCGAGTAATAAAAAAAAAAGTGGAGCGTTGAACAACATATGAGTTGTAATTTATTGTTGTTCCGTTGCTAGCAAAGACCGGATGAACCTGAAGATTAAGCTTGAATGAAAAGCAAAAATAAAAAGAAAACAAATTTAAAATAGCCATTCTCTCTCC